GTACACGTGTGTGCTCATGCTCACACACACATGACACACCATGGAAATACTTCAAAGATAGAGTGAAAGGCTGTGGGAGAAGAAGAGGAGTCAAGAATTACGCCAAGATTTTTCTCCTGAGCAAGTGAAAGGAGTTGCCCTTAGCTAAGATGCAAAAACAAAGACAAAAAACCACTGAAGGGAGGAGGTAAAAGTGGGGAAGAGATCAGGGACCTCAATTTTGGAGGAGTCAAATTTGAGATAACTCTTCTATATTTTAATGGAGCTGTTGAGTAAGAAGTTAGAGATCTGAGTCTGAACTTTGGGGTCAAACCCGGGTTAGAGTCACCAACATATATACGGCACCCCATTTATATAATATACCAGATCACCAAGCACATGTGGGCAAAGAAAGAAGAACTGAGTCCAAATTCTTGTTGATTATTTGAATTACAAAAATATACCTCTTGCTTTCCTATTGTTTGCAGAGTTCACTAAATTATTTTCAAAAGAAACTAACCAAATAACAGAACACTGACTATCAGATGTCTACTATTACCACTCCTGTTCAATATAGTTCTGGAAACATTAGCCACACCAATTAGACAAGAGAAAGAAATAAAAGGAATAAAGATAGGAAAGGAAGAAGTTAAACTGTCATATTTGCTGACGATATGATACTTTACATAGGACACCCAAAAAAACTCTGCCAAAAGACTTCTAGACTTAATTGACAGATTCAGTAGAGTAGCTGAATACAAAGTCAACATTCAAAAATCAATAGCCTTCTCGTACACAAATAACAGACTCACTGAGAGAGAAATTAGGGAAACAATTCCTTTCACAACAGCATCCTCTCAAAATGAAATATTTAGGAATCAATCTAACAAAGGAAGCAAACAACGTCTACACTGAAAACCACAGCACTCTGAAAAAAGAGATTGAAGAGGATATAAGAAAATGGAAAGACATCCCTGTTCCTGGGTAGGAAGAACCAATATAGTGAAAATGGCCATACTTCCAAAACAGCTATACAGATTCAGTGCAATCCGGATTGAAATCCCAAAAGCATATTTCACAGAACTAGAGAAAACAATCCAAAAGTTCATCTGGAACCAGAAAAGATCTAGAATAGCAAAAGCAATTCTAGGCAACAGAGTCATGGCAGGGGGTATCACAATTCCCAACCTGAAACTGTACTAGAAAGCCACTGTGATAAAAGCATGGTACTGGCAAAGAAACAGACCCAAGGATCAGTGGAATAGATTAGAAGATGCAGAAACAACTCCAGGCATACTCAGCCTCCTCATCCTTGACAAAGGAGCCAACCATCCTCACTGGAGGAAAGATAGGCTCTTTAATAAATGGTTTTGGAAAAACTGGATTTCAACGTGCCAGAGATTAAAACTAGAACCCTATCTTTCACCATGCACTAAACTAAAATCGTGGATTAAAGATCTAAATATTAAAACAGAAACACTAAACTTGCTGGAAGACAAGTTAGGTAGAGCTCTCGAAGACATTGGCATAGGAAAGGACTTTATGAACAAATTCTCAATAGCATGGGAACTAGCACAAAGAATCAACAAGTGGGATCTCATCTTATTAAAAAGCTTCTGCGCTGCAAGAGAAACCACCAACAGAGCTAAGAGACAACCTACAATGTGGGAAAAAATTTTACCAGCTGTTCCTCAGACAAAGGTCTACTATCTAGAATATATAAAGAACTGAAAAAAATCAGACCCCCCCCCAAATATAAAGACCCAATTCAAAAATGGGCATATGAGGGCTGGGGATTTAACTCAGTGGTTTTGCCGCCTGCTGTGCAAGCGCAAGGACCTGAGTTCAATCCCCAGTACCCGCCCCCAAAAAACATGGGCATATGAAGTGAACATACATTTCTCAGACAAAGAAGTAGAAGCAGGAAATAAACATATGAAAAAATGTTCAACATCACTGGTCATTTGAGAGATGCAGATGAAAACAACGCTGAGGTTCCATCTCACTCCAGAAAGAATGGCTGCTATCATGAAATCAGTAACAAGTGCAGGCGGGGTTGTGGGGAGAAATGAACCCTTCTCCATTGCTGGTGGGAGCGCAGACTGGTGCAACCACTGTGGAAATCAACATGGAGATACCTCAAACAACTAGGATTGGAAGTCCCATTTGACCCAGGTATTCCTCTACTGGGGATCTTCCCCCAAAGAATTAAAAGAATCATACCACGGTGATATGTGCATACCCATGTTTATAATGGCACATTTTGTAATAGCTAAAACTTGGAAACAGCCCAATTGCCCATCAACTGCAGACTGGATAAGGAAGATGTGGTTTTTAAAAAATAAAATAGAGTACCACTCAGTCATAAAGAATGAGAAACCAGAGACATTTATAGCTAAGTGGATGCACATTGAGGCCATGCTCTTAAGTGAAATAAATAGGACACACATGTGTAAATACCGAATAGTTTCTCTGGTGTGAAAAACCAGAAGTGTAAATAAGAATCAAAATGTGTAATTGATATTGTTAAATAGGAAGAAAATGTTTAAAGGAATAGGGGAAATGGGAGGGGTAGGGGAAAGGAAAGAAGGGAAAGTAAAAAATATGGGAAAAGGAAAAAATAGAAACAGTCTCTGTAAATAGAGAAGGGAGGGCAGGGGAATGGGGAAAAAATAAGAGCCAAGATACTTATGTGAAGGTGAAAATTTCCAATGATGAATGGAACTGTATTGTACACCTAAAATGTACCAATAAACTAAATGGAAAAAAAAAACCCACTATCATCTACTGTTCTTCAAGATGATTATAAGTCAATAATCTGGCTTTGTAGGTCTCAAGACTTGAAAACTAAAGTGAACACATTTGTTCCATTTTTGTCCAAGAAGGGTGCTTAGTTTACCAGCTCTCTGAGAGGATTCCCAAATAAGAATTCAAAATGAGTCAATAACAATTATTTCTTAGCAATCCTTAGATGAATGACAATATAGTGGACAAGTCTAAATAGGACACAGCTTGAAAAACTCCTTAACTAGCACTGTCCTCTTTTTTCTAGTTTGGCTCTAATCTTACTCATCATAAGTGCATAACACTTGCTGTCTGAAAACAGAATTACTTTTTCAGAAAAGAAGTAAAATTGCTATAAAACTACCTTTACACTATCAAGATTACCACTTTCTACTTCTGCAGGAGGAGAAGTTAAGCAGTTAGAAAGTTGGGGACAGGGCTGGGGATTTAGCTCTGATGCTACCACCTGCCTCGCAAGCACAAGGTCCTGAGTTTGATCCCCAATACCAAAAAAAAAAAAAAGAAAGAAAGTTAGGGGACAGTAGGATATTTTATTTTGCCTTTTATTAAATCAAACAATGCTTTCTTTTTTTCTTTTTTTTGGTACCGGGGATTGAACTCAGGACCCTGCACTTGCGAGGCAGGCAACAGAACTACTGGGCTAAATCCCCAGCCCAAAACAATGCTTTCTTGAAACATCACATGGTCACTGATATGTACAATTTTTGTGTTTTATGTATCAGTTTTTTAAACTAATTTAATTTTTTAAATTATAAACTTTTTGTTATCTTTATTCATCTTGTAACAAATGGTTCCCACATCACTTAAGATTCTTGATTGCTTCCCTATGCAATTCTGCTAATTGTTTTAGTAACCTGTCCCAATTTCCATATAGAGCCTCTTAATTTACACTCTAGGCAGTGGTATGTTGGAATTTAGCCAGCTGCCATTACTCCTGGCATTCCTACATACTGGTATAGTTTGTTTCTATGTATAGAGAACTATGGGTGTTAAAATGTATAACATTTGGGCCAGGGATTTAGCTCAGTGGTTCCGGCGCTTGCCTTGCAAGAGCAAGGTCCTGAGTTCGATCCTCGGTACAAAAAAAAAAGTATAACTTTCTTAATCTTGGATTTCAAGCAAATATTGAGTCTGTAGCAATCTACCACAATAATGGCCTTAGTAGGCACTAAAACTACCCTTTACACTATTGTTACTTATACTCTGGAAACCCAATACAAAAATCACATACGTAAAATGAAAACAGATCAGAAAATAACTCAAACACTCATACCTGATTAATACCTTTTGACACAAATTCCTGGTCAATAAAATATCTATCCTATCAACTATATTCATTGATGAAGTTTCATTATACTATTGGCAAAAAATTCACATGAAATCAGTGATCGTGTAATATATGATTTTTTTATTCATTAAGTTTATTGGTACATTTTAAGTATATAGTATGATGACATTCATTATAGGAAATTTGTACCTTTACATGATACATCTGTTTTTTTTTTTTCCGGAACCAGGGGTCAAACTTGGACCTTGCACTTGCAAGGCAGCCACAGAGTGTAATATATATCTTTACAACACTGGAATAATGACCAAAAAAAAAAAAAAAAAATGGACAGGCCACTACTTACATAATAAGGGAGGAAAGGAGGTATAACTCACTGGTAGAGTACTTGTCTACCATATCCAAGGCCCTGGGTTCAATCCCTAGCATGGCTAAATAAATAAAGTGTAATAAGGCGACAAGCTCCTGTCCTCATAGTCACATCCTTGACTATGAACAACTCTGTTATGGTTTGTGTCTAGATGCCCCTCCAAAGCCTCATATGGTCATAGGTGGGGCTTTTCAGAGGTGGCTAGAGCTAGAGTGTGTGATGTTGGGATCAAGGATGTGTGATTACTAAATTAGTCCACTGATTGGTTTGGCATAGCTCTGGGAATGTATAACGTGAAGGGCCTCACACTTCCCTGGGTGTGAATGCTACCTACCCTAAGGGCGGGTAGCCTGGATAAAATACAAGGGACAGAAAGAGGGCTGCTGTGGTCACTTGTTGCTTGCCACTTGCTTGCTTCCTTGCTACTTTGCTGCTTTGCTGCCTTCCTGTCTTCTGCCTGTCATGAGCTGTTTCTCTTCTTCGATGCTCCCTGCCATGCCACCCTCCCTTGGAGCCAGCTAACTATGAACTGAAACCTCTACAAACTGTGAGCCACATAAACCTTTTCTCCTTTAACTTTGGGTGTCGGGTACTTTCTCTCAGCAACAAGAAAAGTAACTATGACATAAACTAAAACATCAAATAATAATCCAGGAGCAATTTATAGAAAATAGGGCTATAATTTTGGTGATTACTCTAAAAGTTCTTCCAAAATTCCTAGGCTAAATGTCAGTGTGTTATTCTCCATGTCTCCACTATTCACAACAGTGACTAACTCTTTTCAAAAGCTCTTTAGCTGAATTTCTAGCTTCAACCATGATGGGGTAAAGGATATTTGCCCTAGCCTCAAACAGTAATAAAACTGGACAAAATATTTTAAAAAGTGTTGGACAATAGATAGCAGATAAAGGTCAATTTCATCAGAAATATAATAATCCCAAATATATGTATACATAATAACAGCATCAGAACACATAAAGCAACTACAGATCAAACTGAAAGGAGAAACAGATAAATTTACAATTATAGCTGAAGATTCAATATTGACGAAACAAATAGACTAAAGCTCAGTAAAGATATGAGACCTAAATTGTCTATCAACCAACTTAATCTAATTGCCATTTACAGAGCACTACACCCAATTTTAGCAAATACACATTCTTTTCAAGTGCAAATATTTACTAAGGTACAGTGTGTGCTGGGATACAAGACAAGTCTCAATGAATTTAGAGTTTGATAAAATATTGAATATATTTTCAGACCACATTGGAATTAAATTAATAACCAGTATCAGAAAGTTATTTGGAACAGTCCCAAATAGATAGTTGGTAATTAAACAAGAGACTTCTAAATAAATGGGTCAAAGAGGAAATCGAAAGGAGAATTAATGATTGACGTGATAATTATATTTAAATTTGTGGGATGGATCAGAGGGAAACTTAAAGCTTTAAATGCTCATATTAGGAAAAAGCCTCCAGCCGGGGACTTAGCTCAGTGGCACCGCACCGGCCTCGCACCCGCAAGGTCCTGAGTTAGAGCCCTGGTACTGCAAAAAAAAAACACCCTCAAATCAATGATCTCAGCATCCACCTTTAGAAGTTAAACCCACAATAAATAAAAGGAAGAAATAGAAAACAATTTAAATAATCAGGATATACAAATATATAAATGAAAACAGGCAATGTGCAGAATTATCCCTGTTGACCCTAACATTTGGAACAACTCTCAATTTCTATGGAAGTGATTGGTTGCTAACTAATCTACAAAGTTATATTATATATAATTGTGGGGAGCAATGCTACATAATTTTAGGGAAAAATCATTTGGTTAGCCTGGTTCTCCTGCCTACAGCCCAGCTATGGAATTCGGAGACCTAACTCCATTTTGGCCTCTGGTCACAACTGAGACCTCAATGATCCAGTGATGCTGTCTGTGATTCTCCAGGACAAGAAATATCCTGGGAGCTGAAAACATACTGGGAGGAACAAACATCTACTCAGTTCCTCATTGTTCTTGGACTGTTACATCTTATTTACGCAGGATGTACCGAACTCTCTGCGAGTCATTTGTTACATCTGCTTCTCCCGATGTACTGAGTACTGAATAAAAGGGGCGGTAAACTGGGGGCTTTTGTCTTTGCCGCCCAGAGCAGCACTGATCAGACCCAAAGCTCAGCTTCTTCTCAGTCTCATTTTTCTACCTTTCTTGTAATTCGCCGTGTGCTGCCGTGGCTCACAGGAGACTAGGACTTACTGCAGAGGTTCTGGTAACGTCCCTTTTCCCTGTTCCCTACATACAATAACTTTAGTTACTCTAATCAAAATTTTTGGAAATGAAGATATCACAAATTATAAGAAATTTTATTTTCCTTTATTTTTTGTGTTCTGTATATTTAGTAAACACAAAACCAGGTAGAGTCCTGATAAAATGCCAACTAAGACAACTTTATTAATTTTTGAAGAATAGAAGAATCCAGCATTTTCGTGTGTTCTGGCTTAAAAATAGCCCTCAAAAGTTCATGTGTTGGGCCGGGGATTTAGCTCGGTGGTTTCGCCACCTGCTGCGCAAGCGCAAGGACCCGAGTTCGATCCCCGGCACCAAAAAATAAATAAATAACAGTTCATGTGTTGAAAAATTCAGCCCCTAACTCATCTGTTACCATTACTGGGAGGGCAGAGCCTGTGGAAGGTAACTGGGGTTAGACCAGGCCATAAGGTGAGGCCACAACAGCTTCTTAAGAAGAGGCTGGAGTTAGCGTGTGTGTTCTGTCTCACCAGGTAACGCCTAATTTATTCTGTGAAACAGGAAATATCTGTACCTCATAAAAGGCACTATCAGACGGAACTAAAAAACCAGAAGAGTGCAGACAATTGTTTAAAGGGATAAAGGAATGTAATATTTGAATACCATAATTTTAGATATTTCATAAGTATTATAAACGCTTTTTATTGGTGACCAACAAAGCATGTTTTTCATCATGTAATGGTAATAAGCAGATTTTAAAACAACTGATCAGATATTTCATGAAGAACTCACTTTAGGAAGCCTGGGCACTCTAGAAGAGAATTGACTTCTGAAGTTCTATGACTCTCAGAGGGCAGAAAGCACTTGAAGTACAGGGTCTGGCATGGGACAGGGTGTGTTGTTACCCACTCAGTCATCTCTGCAAGTAAAGAAGCAGGCGTAGAAGAGATGATTTCATAATTCTCAGGGAAGGGATCACAACAAGATGTCAGAAGATAGAAGAAGAGTGAAAGTTTTTCTAAGAGAACAAAAACATGGGAGCTACTAATGCAGACAGGATGGCTGGCTGTCGACAGTGGCTCACACCACATTTTATTGTATATAAAACAAAGAGATGTCTTTTTGTATCTTTAAGATTAACTAAAGGGAAACACTACCTGAAAAATAAATGTTTCTCTTCAAATTCTTCCCCTTACAATGGCCATCTCCACCCTAATATTAGAAACCAAGCTAGTACGAACCAGGAAGAAGAATGTAAATACATACACTGGCAAAACCTTGACTGTGCTAATCAGTGTTAACTTACATGCAAACTACTATACGGCAAGCCTGCTTCTCAAGCCAAAGACTTGTTTCAACACTGTATTCGCTTTCCACCCTTTTAAACAATCTCACAGCCAGGTTCAATGCTGTTCCAGAATATTCAGTGTGGAACCAAACCCATGTTTCATGCTTACCAAGAACCTTGTTGCTCAGAAATATTTAGTTCTCCCAGACTTTGGGATCTCACTTTGTTAGAAACTTTTCCTTCCGTAATTTTAGAGCTCTGAACCAAAGATAAGAATTACCACTAATCAAACATGCCCTGAAATAATAGATGATCAAATAAAATTATATGACAATGTAAGCTGCAGTTTTAAAGAGTATACCAGCCCACAGTTTTTCTAAATTAATGTTCAAACTAAGAATTGAATAATTTAGATTATAAACTTTAAAACAAATGTAGCCAAATATAGTATACACATAACTAGACAGGATCTATGATATATCTGTATAATTTTTCTAGTCAGGACTTTTGGGTATTAATAACATTTTCATTAATTAGTTAATAATTAATTAATAACATTAATAAAAAGGACTTTTAAAAAAACCATACCGTGATTCTGGGATTCCTTGAATTTTTAGCTGCTATATTTTCTACTCTACATCTGAGAGGTTCTTCCCTTCATTATAGAGACATAATAGAAACAGGACCTTAATTGAGGATATGGTGAATCTTTGGCTAAGGAAATAAAGGCAGAGGTGAAATACCTGTACTTTTTATAGAGAGACTAATTAACAAAGTGTTTCTCATTAGCATCATTAAACAGAAGGTGGCCTTTGTAAGAATTCTTTTTTCTCTTTTACTCATTCACAATAATTTAGGTTTTCTCTCTGGTCACAGAGCCTCTTCAATGTAGGCATAAACTACTTCAATATACTTTTTTGGGCGAGGGGGACAGGGCCTCCCTATTGAATTCAGGCTGGTCTTGAACTCAGTGTGTAGCCCAGGCTGACCTCAAACTCAAGAGATCCTCCTGCCTCAGCCTCCCAGGTGCTAGGATTATAGACACGCACCACCATGCCCAGCTCACTGAACATTTAAGATGCCTGACAGAATTTAATGTACAGCTAGGAAGTGTGTTGATATAATTAGGTAATTCAAAAAACAAATCAGTGTTAGAGCCAAAAATAGGACAAGAAAGTTGCTATTTCATATCTTAAATTTTTGTTTCGGAATGCTGGGAAATCTAACCTATCTTATGTTTTCAAAAATACGTCCTATTCTTTTGTACTCTAAAATAAACTATATAGACTCAAAACTTAGGAAAGATTCTTATTCTGACATTAACTTATTAAAAGCGTTTTGACCAGCCTTCTATGCTATTCAGTCACTTGTCAGAACTGCTTTTGAATGGGCAGTACAAATAAACTACAACCAACACTAATGACTTCCCCTTGAAGTAATTGGGTTTGAACCCAGGACCTTGTATATGCTAGGCAAGTGCTCTACCACTCAACTACACCCCCAGGTCAATTCCTAGATATTTCTTACAACTTGTTACACGATCACTCCTTTTAAAAAGCCATCTTTTCAGGAGTTGCACATCATATGACCAAGAAAGAGTTTCCCCTTCCTATTTACTTACTTATCCTAAGAATGATAAAACTGCCATAAGAATTCTTTTTCGTCTGCATTGGAAGGTAGTTTTAGCTCCTGGGGCCTCTCATGAAACAGCAGGATAAACACCTGTGGTGCATGATTAGTCAGCCCAAGCTCAGGAGCTCTACCCACCCCCACCATTCAAAAGTACACTGCTGTTAGGGTACACAGCATACTGCTACACAGCATGGGCGTTTAGTGGTACCTTGTTACTTTTAAATGAACTAAAAGATTGATGGCTTTCATGTTCTGTAATACTTCTTTTCTGCAAAGTGGATTGTGGGGTTCTTAACAAGTTCTAGGCCAAGACTAAAGCGCAGGTTTAAATGTCACAGTGAACATAGCAGCACATCCAATTGTCTTTGATAACTCTCATAACCAAGTGTTGTAGAGACTCGGTAGCCTGTATTTTCTGTTCAAAGGCCTTCTTACATAGTTTTAGATACATTTTTCTATATTTTTAATTTACTTAAACTTCCTTAATAGGTATGTACAATTTTATAATAAATAAAAATGTAGTCAACTTCAGTTTTTTAAATGGAGATAATGAAGTTGATAAATCTCATGCACACACATACACACAACACACAGATGGCCTCTTAAAGAGGCCACGTATATGATTTAATTTAGTGGGTGCTCAGCACAGCCTCCCTCCATAAAAGAGTACCTTTAGTGAATATTCATTTGTCCGTTGAAGGCTTCAAGATTTCAAAATAAAATTCAAGAATCCCTCTGGGTATGTAGAAGTTAGGGGTATTTCAACAAGATTACCTGATAGCTAACGGAGAGCAAATATTTCTAAAAATGGGACAGCAGGTGGATGCAGTGATAGATGGCAATAAACTGGAGATAAAACAAAAGGGAAGAAGCTAAAGATAACACACGTTCTTGTCAGCATCACCAGACGTTTCTACCATTATTCATCTCCACTGTATGAACTGCTTGCCTGATGTTTGATAATGAACATAATATAGTTATTATTTTCCCTGCAGACTGTGTATTTGTGGCATATTTACTACCCAAAAAAATAACTTTTAGACACTTTCAGTAATTGAGCAGAGCACTGTGGCACATGCCTATAATCCCAATATTCTGGGAGGCTGAGGCAGGAGGATCACCATGAGTTCAAGACCAGCTTAGACAATTTAGCAACTTAGTGAGACCCCCATCTCAAAATGAAAAAAAGGGCTGAGGATATAGCTCAGTGTGAAGGCTCTGGGTTCAATTCCCAGAACCACAAGAAATTAAAAAGTGAGAGGAAAAAAGGAGAGAAGAGAGAAGAGGGGAGGGGAGAGGAGAGGAGGGAAGGGAAGACCTTTAGCGACTGATTATTCTAGGAAAATATAGATATACTTCTAGAGTTCAAAGATTTCAGAATTTTGAATTTTTATACAGCTTTCCAATAATAACTTAATTTGTACACTGCATCAAGGACTCAAAACAACATTCCTTAGTAAAAGTTACAAACAAAAGTTTTACCTCTTGTTTTTCCTGATTTTCATCCATATTAAGTAAAGTTGGTATTTTAGATGAATCTGTTTTCTTTGATTCCCTCTTCAGCACTTTCATCAGTTTAACTTTTGCAAAAAATTTTTATAAAACAATGAAAATCTGTTATTCTTGTGTTGAAATTTTACTTTCCTTTTCAAGAATTTCAAATGGAAATTCTAACATCCACTAGTCAGTTTCTTAGCTTCTTACAAAGGAAATGAATAAATTATGAGCTGTAATAGTAAAATATGGCAAGTTATTTATTATTTTACAAATAGTCTACCGAATATTCAAATAGGCATTTATTTTTATTGTGAATATAACTGTAAAATTTCTCTTGAACTATACAAGTACTATATTCTTGTGATTTTATCACATTAGCACAAGATGTCACACTATTCTTCAAAGAAAATCTTTGTCTTTGGGCAAAAAAAAGTTATTTTAAGGTAAATCTTAAAGTTAAGATTCAGATAAACCTTAAATGAATAAATTTAATCTACCAAATCCTTGGATGCTCAAAGCACATATAACATCCCCGGAACTATCTGGAGATAATCATGGAGAAACGAACATGATTTACTCCATGTCAGTTTCTGAGCCAAAATCTCTTTTCTCAAAAAATGACCTAATGGGGCAACTCACTTTCCAGTCCCCTTCTGTCTCTCTTAGTCAGAAGCTGTCTTTCTCTCCACAAATTCTTTCCCACTCTTAACCTCAGTTGTTCCTGGAATTCATTCTTCTATTTTAAAGAGCATAAACTCGAGTCTTAGATATCTAGCAGGCTGAGAGTTACAATGTTTCCCTTACAGCATTTGAATTACTTACTTGGTGCCTTTATCATCTGGAAGTCTTTCACTGAGATAACTGGATGGACAGGCTGCCAACGTCCAAGCGATCATACAGATGGAACCAACAACCAATATGCTAGACCCCTTTAACTGAGCTCCACCTGGTCAACCTTGTGAAGAAAGTTTGTAACTGCTAATCTACAACATGACTTCTATCTGAGGCCCAGTAGATTAGCTCTCTGGAGAGGGCCCCTGACTGCAGTCTGCCCCACATTGACCCTTCTCATCTTGAAGCAATTGGATGGAAACTATGCCCTTTCTCCCCTAATTGCAGTTAGGGGTACTTCTTTAGAGGGGGGAATACTGCAGACAGTTAAGGTTGTTAGGAAACATTTATTATAAGACAGTTGGACAGCACTGGGCCCTCAGTTTAAAAAACAATTGAGGCACATTCACCGAAAGTCAACATTAAAAAGAAACTACTGTACCCACATACTTCCTCCAGGGATGAAGAGCAGTGATTGATATTTTAGACATCAGTCACCTCAATTGGGGACCAAAACATCCCTAGCTAGCCCATTCCTTCTGGGAAATCCATTGGATTTCCATAGGACTAGCTTCCTCGTTTGATCTCCATTTAATCAATATTACCTGGGTGACTGTACTTGTAATCTTATTGATTGATCATGGATTGATCATCCCCACCTTATGATTTTCCATTGGATCTTACAGTTTTGTCCCACTTTGTACCTGCCTCACCTCATGGCTCTGTCCCATAAAACACCTTTGAAAAGTGGAGTTGGCGAACAACCCACTTTCCGGTCCCTCTTCTGTGTCTTAAACAGAAGCTGTCTTTCTCTCAATAAATTCTTCCCTACTCTTTGTCATGCCCTGGCCTAAGTGAACAAACAGAACAAAGCAAACAGGTGGCTTTCAGCAAACAACAGCAACTTCTCAGTAAACAGGACAAATGGGCACAAGATGAAATAAACAATCCCTCTGGCACTGAAAAGTCCAGTGATTGCCTACACACTTGCGCAGACTGTCCTTGGGCATCCAAGTCATAAATATTCCTTAGGATTACAGGCCCTTCCCCAAAATCTATATAAGCATAGTTTTCTTTTCCTGCTAGCTGCTAAAATCTATCCCCAATTTTAGCCCCTGATTTTAGTCTCTGTTCCCTGGAATAAACTTCTTTTCTTCATTAAAAAAAAAAATGACCTAACATTTCAACAGCATCGAGGTAATGAAAAAACATTTTAAGCTGTCTTTCCCTCTCTTTAACTCCATTAAATCTCACCTTTTATTTGACTATAGGAGAGAAAAATCTTATCAGCTGAAATTGTTTTTCTCAGCAACTTACTATTATCTTCCTAAATCATCCTATGTACCAAAAAGTCCTGTAAATGATATCATGTGGAGATTTATAAGCTATGCAACAAGTGTGTACCTTCCATTCCTTTTATGTCCTTTGACTGTACTGTGAAAGGCAATTCAGGGAAATGGAATTCTTTCCTGTCAAATCTGGAAAAGTTCAGCTTCCTTTTGTACCCACTTGCCCTTTGGTCACTTTTTCCTGTGCACTCATTAAAGATACCCTTCTCCATCTGGCTCTAAACAAACAAATAAGAGTTACTTTGAAGAAATATGTCTAACTATTTGTAGAATTATAGTGTAGAATTGACACCCGTTTGGACGATGTAAAATAAGTGTAATGATTTAATAATTGCACAGGATACCATTAAACATATAAACAGGCCAAACTCCAACAAAAGTTTCATAAAGCAAAGGTTTTAGCATGTCTAATATTCTGAGAGTAATAGTCTTGATCATGAGAATCACAATTTTAACTTTTTAAAAAAAATCTTACTTTTATTAGTACATGTCTGCAGCACATAAGTTTACAGTCCTTGGGTGAAGGTGAGTGCACACAGCACACCTTAATCCTTTTTCACCCCACCCCCTATCCTCTACCTTCCTCGCTCCATCGCTTGATCTTTTTCCCACTTGAGGAAGATCGATCTCTCTACTTCCTATTATCTCCTTTTATTTTGCTCTTTATAATTTGGGTTTCATTGCCTTTAATATTACCCATTCTGATCCTGGAAAAATTGCTTCAGTTCATTTTTAATAACTTATTTTTCTATTTATAAAATGATACATTTTGCCAGGGATTTAGCTCAGTGGCACCACACCTCCTTGGCAAGCACAAGGTCCTGAGTTCGATCCCCGGTACCAAAAAAGAAAAAAAAAAAGATATGTTTTATGGGCACAAGAAAATCTAATGAAAAAACCTTGTGTATTTGGCATCTGAGAACATTTTGTATTTACCTATTTTGAGTCATTTGACAATAGATCATAAAAACTTTTCTAAAAGCGCAAGGACCCGAGTTCGATTCCTAGTACAAAAAAAAAACTTTTCTAAGTTAATGAATACTTTCACAATGTAATGTGTAGCATTCCACTGCGTAAATGTACCTTAATAACTCACCTGCTCCTTAGGTAGGCTTGTATTTTCAAGCTTTTATTATTATAAATAATCCTATGCTTCAATTTTTAATAAACCACATTCCTATGTAAAAAAAATGGAGGGCCTACACTGATTTTTTTTCTAGGAAAAACAAGTTGTGTCTGTTTGGGAATTTCATAAAAACTTTTCTAAGGCAATTGTTTTAAATTAATAAAGTAAGTTTTAAAAAACTGTTTTGGGAAGTGAAAAACCAAAATTCTTATGACTTTCAAAGGTGGAAATCTTAACTTATTCTGCCCAACTTGTATATTAAATATACAAAGTAACATATAGAAAAGGCAGAGCACATGTTTAACATGTATAAGTCCCTGGATTTAATCCCCAGGGCCACAGAAGAAAAAGAAAGAAGAGAAAAAAGAAATTGTTAACATCTAGATGGCCTCCAAAAGCCTTATATGCTCATAGATGAGGCTTTGGGAGGAAGATTAGACTATGGGTTTCGACAGCTGACTTGTATTTAGGAGGTGCACCCTGGTCAGGGCAGGCAGGTCTCTGGGGGCCTGACCTGGAGGGGGGTTGCTCCCTTCCCGGCCCCTCCCTTTCTCTCTGCTTCACGGCCACCATAATGTGAGCACCTTTCCCTCCACCAGACCCCTTCCCCATGCTGTTTCTCTCTCCAGGCTACAGACTGTGAACTGCAACTGTAAGCCAAAATAAACCTCTCCTTTAAGTTGCAAGGGTCGGGTATCTTGTCCCAGGGACAAGGAAAGTGACTTAGACAAAACTAAAAACATACTTTTTATATGTTGGACCCCTAAAAAAAAGGAAAGGAAAAGGGGGGTAATTTTAACAGGCTATATTTTAATGACTAGCTTTTTTCCTTACTTGCGTAGGACCTATGTCTTCTTGCCTGCTTTTAGACAAAGCTTGTCTGATAGATTGTGAAGCAGTGCGTCTCTTTTTCGCTCTTTCAGTTAATCTATTATTTAAAAATAAATGACAAGTTATTAGAACTCCCCAGAAGTGTCTTTGTCTTAGTTTTAAAAATAACAACTTATACCCTGAATATTTACTGTTAGAATACCGAGGACCAAAAAGCAATTACTAGTACAGTATTTAAGTACCAAAAGCCCTAATGAGAGAAATGGTAATAGGGTAGAGAACAGCTAATGGATGACTAACATCAGTGGTGACAAACATGTTGTGGAGTTATCCCTGTTGGTCTGCTATCCATTCTACACCCTTCTGTCTTTTCTGAACTTAGATCTCTTAACCACTGGGTTTCTCAATTTATGAGCTTGCCCTGCAAGATTAGCTAACAACCTGGTTATTAACACTGTAGTTTGGAACAACTAGGCCAGTGGTGGAGAACCTATGGCATGTGTGCTATAGTGGGCATGCAGAGCCCTCTGTTGGCACACGAGTAACATCACCCCAGCAGCCAACCATCAGATAACAGTGCACGTAGGGGCAGTGTTGGCACTTTTTCATTAATAAGTGGGTTTGGGGTTGCAGTTTGGGCACTCAGTCTTTAAAAGGTTCAACATTACTGAGCTAAGCTATTGCAGTCTCTAGTCTACTGCACCTGTGAACTGACAGACATATCTGCTAAAACCTAAAACTGGCCCAATATGCTGTTTTCCTCTCCAAATTTTGGCCTTGAAAGGCTATTTGATTATGAAAGATCATTTATGACTATCCTTTCTCCATTTGGAGAATTTGCTATGATATAGATATAATGTTTAGCTTGTTACACCAAGTGCTATGGTTTAGATATGGTTTGTCCCCCAAAGGTCCACATGCTAGAAGTCTGGTCTCAGTTGGTGGCAGTGAGAAGTGTGGAACTTTTCTTTCTTCTTTCTTTCTTTCTTTCTTTCTTTCTTCCTTCCTTCCTCCCTCCCTCCCTCCCTTCTTCCTCCCTCCCTCCCTTTCTTTCTTTCCCCTCCCTCCCTCCCTCCTTCCTTCCTTCCTTCCTTCCTTTCTTTCTTTCTTTCTTTTCTTTTTTCTTTCTTTCTCTTTCTTTTTTCCAGTACAGGGAATGAACTCAGGACCTTGTGTTTGCCGGGCAGGCGCAACACCACTGAGCTAAATCCCCAGCCCGAGGAGGTGGAACTTTTAAGAGATCAGTCCAAATGTGAGGTGATTAGGTCTTTAGGAGAGATTAATGCTTTGCCATGGGAGGGTCTTCCCACTCTGGAGGAAAGGTCCACAAGAGAGGGTTTTTATAAGCAAGACTGGCACCTCCCCTGAGTCTCTCCCACTTCCTTGGTCACACACGTGCCCCTTCTGCATGTGGCTGGTTCCCTGCCCACTTCTCTGCCTCCCATGTTGTGATATCCCAGGGGGCCTTTGCCAGGATGGTGGCACCATGCTGTTGGAATCTCCAACCAGTATTACTCAGTAAATGACACATTTTGATATTGCTCTTCTGTGTTACAGCTCACCTTGGATTGGGGTGGAAGAGATTTGAATTGGGATTTGCAGCCATCAAATTAGTGTTAGTAAGACTGATGGGTGGCATTATCATATAACCTTCAGCATGGGGCTCTTCCTTTACATCATTAGAGTTAGTGATGGGATTGGCAGGGTTTGGTGGATCAGAGACTGTAGGTTTTGTATCTTGAGACAAAGCATGAACATTTTCAAAGGCATCCTGATGACAGTGTCTACCTTCATACTCCGTCTTTTTCAGTTCTGAGGTATCTCTTTTTCCTCCTCCGACTTTAATAACTGTGACTTTGATCTCCTTAGGTTTTTACTCTTTTTCTGTTTCCTAAAATAGATACATCCAAAATCTGAGTCATGACAACAATTATTTTTGTCATGAGAGTACTAACTATAATACAGTTATACTGGCTGAAATTAAAAAACAAAGTTCTTACCTTTCCCAAAACTGAAGTACTTAGCAGTGTATTGGTAAAAATTGTTTTTCTTTCATCTTTTATTAGTTCATTTTCCTTATAATTCTCTTTTGACTTTATGAAGGAATTGACTTTTGCTTCTTGCAGTAATTTAGCTTTTAATTCTGGTAAGAATCTGACAAAACAAGCAATATCATATATAAAATTTTATATATCATATATTTATATTTACATATATTTATATATTTTATATATAATTTATATATATAATTTTTTCATGGTGCTATGGCTTCAACCCATAGGTTTACACATGTTAGGCAAGCACTCTACTGCTAAGCTACTTCTCCAGCCCAATAATCTTTTCATTTGTGTAGATATTTTAAAAGAACCACTTAATCAATTAACATATATTTCAGCTATAGCATAAATAATGCTATATAATTATAATTCATGCCAAGAAATAACAATATTTATTTACCTAATAAAAATTGCTTCCTGAGGCTCAGGCAAGAGAATCACTGCAAGTTCAAGGACAGCCTGGGCCACATAGTAAGTTCAAGCTGGCCTTGAACTCGCTATGTAGTGAAACCCTGTCTCACAAAACAAAACAAAACAGGGCTGGGGATTTACCTCAGTGGTTCTGCCACCTGCTTGGCAAGCACAAGGACCCAAGTTCGATCCCTGGTACCAAAAAAAATGCTTCCTAGCAAAGATACATTCTTCAGAAGATTTGCCATGGGAATCTACTATATAAAGCTTTTGCAAAAAATACATATGAATTAGATTCCTTCTGAGATACAAATGTTTGTTACTCAATAAAATATTGCTTTCAATTTTGATAAATATGCTTTTCAGTGAAACAAAAGCCACTTTCTGGTTCTTTTAAAGTAACATGACTTAAAAGATGAACTAATCAGTTTCTGAAGTCTTAAAGAAATATTTTCAGTACAAAATGTAATGGGATACATAATGAAGGGAGATTGTTTCGGTTTTAGTTGTCTTTCTTGCTTTTTAAGTTATTTTTTAATAGAAAATATGTTCATGTAGTTCAAAATTCCAAAGTCTACACTGAAAAGTCTTCACATCGTTTTCTGAATCACATGGTTTTCCTTCATGGAAACAGCCACTGCTATGAGTTTGGGGAAGTTTTAAAATACCACTCCATCAATGAATTCTTCCCTAGTCCATCTACTCTTTTTTTTTTTTTTCTTGGTACCGAGGATCAAACTCGGGACGTTGTGCTTCTGAGGCAGGCGGTGGCACCACTGAGCTAAATCCCCAGCCCCTAGTCCATCTACTCTTGCCAGTGATGAGCAGAGTACATGACTAATAACAGGTAATGTATAGAGATGAAGAAAATGGAGAACAAAATGTGATTAGTTTGGCTAATTGAGAACATGTCATACTTCTGTTAAAACCTTTGCGTTGCAGCCCATGCCCTACCGAGGTCCTGAGTCGCACAGAACACGCCAAATCAGCCCGCTGCACACAGGAAGGTCTGTGCACGCCCTACCGAGGTCCTGAGTCGGGCGGAAGACACCGAATCACCCCGCTGCAGACAGGCAGCCACCTGGTTCCACACTACAAAGACCCAGAGGACACCAGACCACCAAACCAAGGTACTGAGTCCCGCTGTTCCCGGCCCAGAGGGAGGGACTTCTGAGCCATCGTCCCACTGCTCCTGGTCCAGAGGAAGGGGCTTCTCGGTCACCATCCCTCCCGCTGATCCCAGCCCAGAGGAAAGGGTCTTTGGGCCACCTTCTGTCCCACTGCTCCTGGCCCAGAGGAAGGGGCTTCC